GTCTTGTTTAAGTATGCTTTCTAGAGATGCACTCAGGTTATAAACAAATAATCTTGTAATTTCTTATAATACTTTCAGAACTTTCACTCTTTCATTTAATATCTAATGTATATGGACTTTACTTTTATGTACTATACTGCATTAGGTAGTTGGATAGTCAATAAATATTGTTAAATGATTAAATAAATAAATTTACTTATTTATTCTTCACAGTCTGCTATGCATAAGTTTGGTCTTCCATCAAAAACTAAACAACATGAAAGGAACCCTACTACTTTATCCTAAGCTACTGTGTCAAGAAATTAAATATGGGCAAAGTTCTACGGAATTCAGATCTAGAGTAATCTAGGAATAAAGTGCTAGGAACCCAAAGCAGGATTATTATTGTGAGAAAGTACAGACACATCTATTTTGATAAATTTCACAGAGAACATGGCAGAATCAGGACTTGAATGAGGGTCAAAGAAATGAATAGATCATGAAAAAATAACAGTATAAAATTTCCCAAGATTAAAAATCTTTGCATTCATAAAACAGTTCCAATAACTCCATTGAAAAAATCTGGGTAGAATTAAAATCAGTCTGAGAAATAAATTATTGTAGCTGAAACAAGTTTACTAAGAGATGTTCACTGAATACCCATTTGTAGACTAAACAACAACAAAATGCAGGCCTAAAAAAGACCTGCACTGGCAATTTGTGGAAAATAAATATTTTGTATGTGAGACTATCTTGATTCATTGGAGAATTTTTAGCATTCTTGACCATAACTTGGAATAAATAAACAAATAAACAAACAAACAAATACATACATACATACATACATACATACACACTTCACACATACAGACAAATATCATGGGTATGGATGGGGGGAGCCGCAGATTGCCAAGCAAAATTCATTATGATAATAATAGCAAGCACTGATACAGTACTCAACATGTTTCAAGTACTATTTTAATGTGTTATCCTATTTATTTCTCACAAGGTATCCATGAATATCGTCTTATCACTATGCCTATTTTATGGATGAAGAAACTGAGGCAGCGATCAGGTCAAATAATATGCTTCTAGTCACACAACTACAGGATGTTAGAGTCAGGATTTGAACAAAGGCAGACTGGCCACAGATTCCATGTTTCTATTCCTAAAATGTACTCTAAATAATGATAGAGTTATGTTGGGGAGGATTAAAAGCTTTTCCTTTACTCATCTATGTTCTTGGCTGAGACTCTGTAACAAAAGACAGAATAACAAGAGAAAAGCACACAAATTTACTTAAGATAAGTTTTACATGACAAGGGAGCCTTGATAAGGAAATGAGCACCCAAGAAATGGTTAAGCCTGAGTGTTATCATACTAGGTTTGATGAAAAGTAGAAAGTCACGGAAAAATGTGATAGGACAAAAGAGTATGAGGTAGGTATAGTAAACTGGGGACACTTGGCAAGGCCTGCTCATTCAGATTCCTCTTGGTATTCCTCTGTCTTTGGAGATAAAGAAGCTCTTTTCCTCTGGTTTGGGTGGGCACCTCTCACATGAGGGTCCTATAACTGGGAGGGGAAAAGGTCAAAGAGTCCTTTCAGAACCTGCCATTTCTCAAATTCCTTCAGCTATATTTTTGGTTAGCATGTCCTGAATCCCATCAGTTGGAACTATCTGTTTACTAAAGGTGGTAATGTGAGTGAACATACTTCTTTTATAAGTGAAAATGGAAGAAAGATGGAAAGGGCCTTAGGGATAAGGTTGAAAATGTTAAAAGATTCAAAGTGACATGATATTCCTGAAGCAACAATAAACGGCAAGATCCAAGATCACTAGTGCCTTTTAAAATAATTTTGAATGAAAATAAAATGTACTGGTAGGGAGAAACATCAAGTCAGGTAGGATAAAGACAAAGAATCATGAATGTTTATAATATCTTTGGGAAATGTGACCAGGCAATTAAAGAAAAAATCTAATGATAAGAGAAAATGGAAGTAGAAACTATAATAGTAGGGATGGAAAAAAATGATTTTCCCTCTACCTTTCTAAATTCTCAGCTAGAACATAACAAAAGACAGATTAACAAGAGAAAAACAAAAAATTTTATTATCATGTGTATCACAGATATAACACTTGGGATGGCCAGGAAGTGAGTACTTATAGAGGGGGCTTAGAACTCCAGTTTAGGCCACGCGTGATGGCTCACACCTGTAATCCTAGCATCCCTGTAATCCCAGGCTGAGGTGGGCAGATTGCTTGAGGTCAGGAGTTCGAAACCAGCCTGAGCGAGAACCTGTCTCTACCAAAAACAGAAAGAAATTAATTGACCAACTAAAAATATATATACAAAAAATTAGCCGGGCATAGTGGTGCATGCCTGTAGTCCCAGCTACTTGGGAGGCTGAGGCAGGAGGATGGCTTGAGCCCAGGAGATAGAGGTTGCTGTGAGCTAGGCTGATGCCACGGCACTCACTCTAGCCTGGGCGACAAAGTGAGACTCTGTCTCTAAAAAGAAAAAAAAGAACCCCAATTTATATGACATTTTCAATAAAGAACAATACATTTTTAAAGAAAATTTAAAAGAAATTAAATTTAAAGAAAATTTAAGTGACAAGACAAAGGAAAAAGACCCTGAGTCCCAAGGGGCAGCAAACTGTACAAAGGCTAATATGTAGGAAACTAATGGTAGATGAAAGTTACAGAGTGAAGTTTGTTATGGAGATTTCTCTGGTGCCATCTCCAGGCTGATTAGGGTCTAAATTTGTCTCCTGTGATTAACTTTTGTCCCTTCTTGATAGAGAGAGGAAAAGCAAAACCTTTATAATTTTATGTCCTGTTTCTAGGGGGAGAGTAGAGAGTTTTTTTATCTATTAATACATTTTGTCAATTGACTTCAGCTCAAAATAATCCTTATGCCAGACTGGCATATTTGGGGATGGCATAATCTACTTAATAAATTCTTATTCCTCTGCTTTTCCTTACAAATTTCACTTTTCTTTAATTTGCTGGAAATACTGAAACTCTGTTTTTCTTCTTGATGGTATAAACCACTCCTCCTATCACTGATTACCACCTATCACTGAATGGCATACTTTTGTAAATACTATTCAACTATGGGAAATAAATATTTAATAGGGTAATAATTATATAATATAGTATCATATATGCTAAATTATGTATATACTAAGTTCTATTTTTCTCAGTATCCAAGTAACTTTCTTATATTTCAGACTATGAAAAGCTAAAAAGAAATAGAATCTTAAGTCCCTGAAATTTCACTGTAGAATTTCTAATTATTTGAGAATTTACTGCAGTTGAGTGATTCCTGAGAGTGTTCTGTCAAACAGGAAATTCAACACTTATCACAGAGTAAAATTGAGTTTGGCTGCTAAATAACTTAAATGACAATCCTATATTTTAAGCGACATTGTATTATACACCTCCCAAAATATGGGATCTTGTGTAGATGCACTAAAATGATGAAATGAAAACTGAGTGTATTATCAAAATTTCACATATTTTTTCCTACATATATATTCACACATAAGTAAACTGCACCACTATATTATGAATAGTATGGTAGTACCAAATGCCTGAGATATAATTAGTAGCTGAAACCAGAATTTCCTTGAAGATATAGCTAAATGCTTAATGGGTTTTAAGTTAAGGAGGCTTTTATCTCTAATTGCTTTTGAGAGCAGGGAAAAAGAACCTGGGTAAGGTGGAAATGGAAATGCAGATTTGGTCCTTCTGCCTTACCTTCACAAATTTGTTTTTTAAGTTCTTTAACTGCCTGAAGACAAGAGGCTTGGCCTGATGATAACAGAGCACAGTGCTTCTCAAAGTTGTCTGCACAATGGATTCAACTGGGAAGCTTCAAAAAATACTGAAGCCTGTATCCCAACCCAAATGTTATAACTTAATTGGTTTAGGGTGTGGCCCGAGCTTTGGAATTTTTATAAGATCTCCAGGTGATTCTAATATGCAAACAAGTTTGGGAACCATGTTTTAAAATAATTTTCAGTTCTATGTCTGTGATTAAGAAAACCATGTAGAGGTGTCACAAATCAGAACACAAAACAGAACCACTATTAGGGCTTGTAAAACCAAACCAAAACAAAAAAACTGGAAAAATAAGAGGAAATATGTCATAAAACAAGATAGAATTTTTTAAATTATGGCAAACTGAACAATTTGTTAGCAACTCTGGAAACACTGAACTTACCTATTGTCTAGATATAAAAAAGAGGTGTTCTATCATTCATTTGCCTTTGTGGCTTTACTGATGTGCTTCAAATGCATATATGAATGTATAGCCAGGGGTAAGAGAAAGAAATATTATAGATTTTTAGTATTCTCCTGTTGCTATTCACTAGGGGTATATAACTTCAGACTCGGAATCTGTAGAGCTATAACTTTAAAGAACTAATTTTTAACCACCATTCAATTAAAGTTAGTACAATGACTTTGCATAATACATACATGAAATAATTAGTGAAGATGGTTCTTAATTTAAAGGATGTTAAACAGCTTGTAGACATCTGGTAACAAGCTGAAATGGGTCATTCAAAATTTATCTAACTAAATTAAGGGGGAAAAATGTTTCTCCTCCCAGGCTGGCATGTCACAAGATAACTAAACCGACTTAGTAGGCTTGCCTGGGAATCCTTAGCTGTCAGTGGTGAATATGCAAAGGGCCAGCAAATTAAATCAACCTGCCAAACTGTCAATTTCAAGCCTCATGACTGCATGAAAATAGCATCACTGGAAGAAATCAAGCATTGCCTTCTTTTGGGTTTCCTGGCACCTATTCAAATACTCATGCAGTTGTGGCTAATTTTGCATGCAAATTTCAGTCAATAAGCTCAGAACAAGACCTCCCAAGATATTTCAAAGGATCTGACAGTATTTTTTCTGAATACCAAATCAACAGTAGTTGAAATTCAATCTCCATTTGCCAGTGCTTTACATATGCACAGTGTCCCCACCACAGAGCTAAGTTAATGAGAGCCTTACCTGCTTTCACTCACATCCTCCCAACCGTCCTTGCTGAGGTTCTCAAATACATTGCTCATAACTTTGATGGAGTGATTGAGAACAGTGTGGTGACGACCCACAGAGCACTTTTTCTTAGCAGCTTTAAATTTAACCTTGGTAGTGGTTGTCTTACAATCGTATTGCCCAGATCTCACTTCTATGGTGGCCATCTCAGATTTAGCTTTGTCTGCTGAGTGGTTCAATTTCTCCAATGGATTCCTCGGCTCTCCATTTTCATTTCTCAATGCATTAGCTTCTGCCACTTGTCTCCTTAAGGAAATGACTTCCCTCTCCAGCTCAGTGATTTTTACTTGAAGTTCAGTTTTGTCTTTTTCTACATCTTTACTTCCCTTTAGTAGCTCTTCTAGCTCTTTTTCTCTGGTCTCTGCCTCTTCTTGCTTCTGTTTTAAGAGGGATTTCAAGAAATGATTTTCTTTCATTAACCTTTTATTCCCTTCTTTTAATCTTCCCGACTTTCTCTCAAAAGATTTTAGCCGATTTTCCAACTCTATGACCTAAACAGAAAAATTTAATTCATTCTTTTAAAAATCCAGCACCATAAGCTACTGTATTTTTATTATCATTTCTAACTTATGAAAGAAAAATTACACTTAACACAAGGACAAAATAAATCTAAAGTACTTAATTTCTAAATAATTCTAAGGTGGTATAGATGAATACATTCAAAAATGCAATAATACATCTGTTGAATAAAGGACAGATGGTAAAAGAAGTTAAAATTCTACACAAAGTGACACAGAATTAAGTATGCTAATAAACTACAGAGTTTTCTGAGATCATAAATGCTTTGGCTATATATTCTATTCACTGTGAAAAAATATTTCAGGGAAAAACAATTTATATAAAAAGTCTAAAAGTAGTTATATATACAAACTGTATTAATAAATGACATTTTTCTTTCATATTTAACAATCATATGAAAAAGTAATGACTAAATACAAAATAATTTACTAAGGCTGCTTTTTTCTAAATTAGAAAAATATAATTTTAGTACTCTTGTGGTTCTTAGTTACACAATAAAGGAACATTTTACCAAAAAATAAAGTCTAAAAATTTTAAATTACAATAATTTCAAGATTGCATATAAATTTAATTGTTTCCATTTATTTCAATAAAAAATGTTCTTGTGCTAGGACATAGCAATGGTAATACACACTTCCAGACCTTAGGAATCTCAAAATCTATTTCAAAAGACAGACATTTGCATATATAAACCTAATAAAGGATATGATCTAAGTACCATAAGTCTAAACATAAAGGAAAGAACAATTAATTCTAATTCTTGAGTACAAAAATAAATAACAAGCCCTATTGCTTGTAAAGTACATCTCACTTTTTACAAATAGTTTCATAAACATGATCTCTTCTAATCATCTTAAAAACATGAGGAAAGCAGAACCAATAAATACCTTTCCAGAACAGGAAAGAGAGATTCTGAAAACTTAAATTTCACATAGAGGTAAACCTTTCCTGGACTGAACTGCATTCAAATTCAGGATTTTGTTCCTCTCCCACTGGTCCACAAGCCATCTGAGAAAGAAAAGTTACCCAGACTTACATAGAAAAGGAAAAAAGGGTCTGGTAAATTGATGCCTCCCAATTTGTTTTTTTGGCTTAAGATTGCTTTTGCTATACGGGGTCTTCTCTGGTTCCATCCTAAGCATAGAATTATTTTTTCTAAATCTGCAAAAATTGATGTTGGTATTTTAATAGGGATTGCATTGAATCTGTAGATTACTTTGGGTAGTATAGACATTTTTATGACAATGTTTTTTTTATGACATTTTATAGACAATGTTTATTCTGATGACCCACGAGCATGGTATGGTTTTCCACCTCTTTATGTCTTCTGCTATTTCCTTCCTCAGTGTTTTGTAGTTCTCCCTGTACAGGACTTTTACTTCCTTAGTTAAATATATTCCTAGGTATTTTATGTTCTTTGTTGCTATTGTGAATGGTACTGAGTCTTTGATTTGACTGCTGTCGGTGTGTAGGAATGCTACCGATTTCTGTACATTGATTTTGTAACATGAGACTTTGCTAAATTTGGTTATCAATTCCAGTAGTCTCATGGCAGAATCTTTGGGGTTTTATAGATATAAGATCATATTGTCAGCAAAGAATGATAGTTTGACCTCTTCTGCCCCTATTTGGATGCTCTTGATTTCCTTTTCTTGTCTGATTGCTCTGGCTAGGACTTACGGCACTAAGGAATTAGAGTCAAGAAAAAAAATGGAGACAAGCAAGAAATCTAAATGGTTGAAGAATATATAGATTCATATTTACTTTTAAAAAAAATTCTAAGGCTGGGCATAGTGGGTGGCTCACACCTGTAATTTTAACACTCTGCGAGGCTGAGGTGGGAGGATGGCTTGAGGTCAGGAGTCCGAGACCCCATCTCTACAAAAATTAGAAAAATTAGCCAGGTGTGGTGGTACACACCTGTAGTCCCAGCTACTCGGGAGGCTGAGGCAGGAGGATCATTTGAGCCCAGGAGTTTGAGGTTGCAGTGAGGTATAATGATGCCACTGAACTCTAGCCTGTGTGACAGAGCAAAGCCTTATCTCAAAAGAATAAGAACAACAAATTCTTCACAGGAGAAACATTTCTGATATATTGACAACTGCAATGGTATGAATGCTTGTGTCCCAGGAAAATTCATACGTTGAAACCTAAATACCAATATGATAGTATTATGAGGTGGGGTCTTTGGGAAATGATTAGGTCATGAGGGCTCCTCCCTCATGAATGGGATTAGTGCCTTTATAAAAGAGACCTCAGAGAGTCAGTGAGCTCCTTCCACGATGAGGACCTACCAGAAGTTACCATCTATGATCCAGAAATGAGGCCCTCACCAGATATCAAATCTGTAAGAACCTTGATCTTGGACTTCCCAGCCTCCAGACTGTGAGAATAAATTTCTGTTGTTTATAAGCTACTCAGTTTATTAGTATTTTGTCATAGCAGCTTGAAAAGGCTAAAACAATAACAAACAAACAACTTACCTAAAACAATAACAAATAACAATTTGAAATAATAATATTCCAGAATTACACAGGATGAATCTTATGCATATTCTTAACACTTTCCAACTTACTGAACATTACTTATAATGGTGAAGATGTAAGTTGTTTCCTAAACATGAGTTTCAGTCATGTCAGATTTACCTATCCTTCTATACCCCTTATGAGTTCAACTCCCTTCATTTAAATTAACAGTCATTTATTGATTGGCTATCCTATCCTGCGGCATGGATATTTCTCAGCACAATATGATGAATCTCACCTAATTTTAATCACTTCTATTCCACAGTATAATATACTTACCTACTATTGAACCTATGTCCTTATAGGATCTATCTTGACCTGGAGTAAAGGTATCTGAAAAATTTTGTAGCAGACTATTGAAGACCTCTGTATATTTCTGTGAAAGAGATTCTATTGTTCCTTCTCAATGCAAATACTTTACTAGAGAGCTGGCTAATGTGAAAAAAAAGTACAGGATTCAATACTACACAAACTCTGGCTGAATCCTTTTTACTTTTTCCAAATCACACTACCTCCAAATTGTATTCTCCATTTAGTAAACTATACTACAGACAAATAAAGAATACAACCTCTTTATACACTCTTCAGTTTCCCTCAGTGGATCTTTAACCACTTCCCCAAACAACAGTATAGTTTTTATTAAACACACACACACACACACACACACACACACACACACACACACACACACACACATAAATATTTTAACTTGTAGATTCCAGGGTGGAGTGAGTAGAATATACTCTATTTTTTAAAAATATACTTTGTGCAAGTAAGCAATTATATGTTTTTTAATTGGCTTTGACAGTGGCAGTATAAAAAATATTCATAAGAGGCAGTGTGGTCTGGGGGAAATAGAATTTTGAGTCAGGTCTATATCTTATTTCCAGCTCTGATTGCTTTAGCTGGTAAAATATTTAACCTATTTTACCTTTAGTTTTTTCGTCTGTGAAATGGGAATAGTAACACCTACCCTGCAGGTTTGTTATGAGTATTAAAAGTGATCATAAGCCACAATTTCTGACAGATGGTAAGTCCTAAACAATTTATCATTATTATTTCTATCATTATTAATCTTAACCTAATAAAATTACTTGAGCTAAAATATAATTATTCATGCAAAGTATTCTGTATTAGCCATTAAATCAGCTTTATACATTAAATTAAAATAAAATATTTTATAAACAAATGTAACAAACATCTTAAATTTGAGATTTCAATTCTGAAAATTAGCATTATTTTTTTCTTTTGACTAAAATCCACTTAAGTCTGGGGACAACTCACGAAAATTTTACCTATGTTAGGGATCAGAAAACACTCCAAAGTATGGCACCTTGGCATGCTCAGTACTTTGAACTGAAGGACACTGGAAGGGCCTCAGAAGCAAGGTCTCTCTGATCTTCTCCTGTCCTCCTGTCTCCCACCCCTTTCTCTTCCTTGAAGTGAGTCACAGAAAGCAGAATCTTCTTCCCCAAGGTAGGTCAGAGGACTAAAACGCCTCTCCCCCAAAGCAAACCATAAGACCTACCGTGTTTCCCCAAAAATAAGACAAGGTCTTGTATTTATTTTTCCTCAAGAAGACATCCTAAGGCTTATTTTCAGGGGATGTGTTTTTTTTTTTTTAAGTACAGTACAACAATTTACATTTATTCAAATATAGTTAAGTCGTCTTCTTCTGGAACATCATAACTCTCCAAACCCCAAATTCCATCCTGAATTTCTTGCGACTCTATTTCCTTTAGAACCATTGGCCCCAATCTCTCATGTTGAGTAATAGAGCTCTCATGAGGCAGATGAGAAGGGCTACTCGTCTTCTTTACTACTCCATGACGAAATGCATGGGTTGTGCAGATATGCTACATAGCCACGCCCCATCACTAGGTCTTATTTTCGGAGTAGGGCTTATATTGCACAAATGCTTAGAAATCCTGCTAGGTCTTATTTTATGAGTAGGTCTTCTTTTCGGGGAAACACGATAGAAAGGTCACTCTCTTCCTTTTCTTTTCTCTCCTGAAGACCCTGATTACAGAGGGGTCCTCCCTCATATCTGAGGGGAAGGAATGTTACACAGGGAGGCCAAGAAGAATCTGAGCAGACAGGCCTTGCTGGGTTTCCTCCCAATTTATTACCATTAGATCATACCCTTATGTCCAAACACATTTCTATACTGCTATCTGCTCTTCATTGAACTTAAGCATATATATAGTTTTCCTTGCTTCTTTGGGTCTTTATTTCTGAAGCTTCTCATGTCACTTAAAACTTTTATTAAATGAATTTGTTACGTTTATCTCTCGTTAACCTGCCTTTTGTCATAGGAGTGTCGACCATGACCCTTATGACTGGTAAGGGACGGCACCACATCTTTTTGCCCCTACAGATACCAATTGAAAATGTTTGTGGTTTTAAAGTCTATTCACTACCCAATGTGAAGCTATGGTTAATCATGGGAACTGATTAAAATTACTTGTATTTAAGTTTAAAATGGAAGACAAACAACAAAACTTACAATACTTCTAAAGACTTTGAAAATGGAAAGTCCACAGAACCTATTAAAGTGTTACTCAAGATATATTCTCAAAAATTGTTAAACTGATTTTAAGCCTCCAAAAATAGAAAGCTAAATTTCAATATACATTTGGAACTGAAAGTCTGGGGAACTGTCAAAGCCATTTGGTTTGTATGTTACAAATCAGCTCAAGCCCATACTTTCTTTCAGTGCTGAACATTTATTTAAAATTATTAAGAGATGGTTCTTTCAAACTCAAAATAAACACTTGACATCATGGAGTGTGTATATTAGTTTGTTTGGGCTGCCATAATAAAGTACAACAGAGAGAGTGGCTTAAACAACAAAAATTTATCATTGTTCTGGAGTCTAGAAGTTCAAGATTAAGATGTCAGCAGGGCTCATTTCTTCTGAGGGCTCTCTCCTTTGCTTGCAAATGGTAATCTTTTCCCCATATCTTCACATGGTCTTCCCTTTGTGTTTGCCTGTATCCTAATTACCTTTTCTTATAAGGATATCAGTCATACTGAATTAGGGCCCACTCTACTAACTTCATTATAACATAATTACCTCTTCAAAGACCCCAACTCCAAATACAGTTATTAATACATTCTGAGATACTGAGATTAGGGCTCCAACACATAAATTCCAGGGAGACACAATTCAGCCAATAACAGTATGAAATTTTAATACATTATTTTAAAAATAATCTTCTTATAGGTTTCATTTCTATTTTATACTAATATTTTTTTCATCTTATTACTATATTTTAAATCCAATTTTAGTGAGTTTCATATACTTCCTTTTAAAATAAAAAAAACCTTGACCATTAGGAATTAAATCATGACTGACACAATTGCATTAGGTTAATATATTAATTAAAAATAGTGACAAATTTGTATGCTAATTTGACATACGGTCCAATGAAAATAATTCATGTTGACTTTTCAGGCCTTAAAATGCATTTCTGGATCCACTATGGATAGTATTTTTTTATGGCAGTTGGAAAGAAATAATGGCTTTCTTTAGGGCTTCTACCCTAAAGTAATAAATAGGATAGTATTACATATATATATATATATATATAATTTTTATTTCTACATATGTAGAATATTATATTTCTCTCTCAAAATATATCTATATATATATATATATAGAAATGAAAATTATACAAAATTTGGCAAACAAAAATAGTGTCTGAAAAAAAGATGTTAAGCTAGTATAAACTGTATGGCATCCTAGCTGATAGTGCATAGATTATTTCAATTACTCATTTAACCTTAAGATAAATGAACATGAGCATTTCTTGTTTTCTGTGTTATCACGCTAACCTGATGTATGTCATTCAGTAATAACGAGATGACAGCCTTTGTTGCCTAACCATATGGCAAGTGTTAGGAGTATAAGGAATCACATCATCTGCTGCAAATCACTAGATTTCCAACAAGTCAGTTCACAGATATAAGAAATATAAGTTGCTACATTAATATTTTTGTTTATATATTTGTGCATTTCTAGCTTTATCTAAGTATTAAAGATTTGTAAAAAACAAAATCAATCCAATAATAACTATTTAAAGAGCATTTTCTTTATAACAATAACAAAATGTTAATATAATCTAGTTCACTTAATTGAACTTGATAACTATACACACACACACACACACACACACAAATACTAAGTATAAAATTGTAAAGGTAACGTTAGGATTTTAAAACAGTATTTTACTATGAATGATACCCATGCTGTATCATGACCATAGGGTTTACATGATCTTATTAAAACAGAAAGCTATTCTAAATCATATAGGTATAAATTTTTATCTAAAATGAGATAAGTCATGTATATTTTCTAGTTTAAAATTAAACTTATAAACATATTACCATTTTACTGAGGTAGAGCTATAACTATGCTCAGTTTTTAGTTCAAATATTGTAAATCTCTGGATTTGTTGAAGTGTAACACAGATCTCATTATGACCCATTTTAAACTTAAACTGCTAAGTCATCACTAACAAACACATATAATCTAAATTTTTATAATTTCTATTGTTTTCATTCCCTCCATTTCATTTTGAAAGTATTTCTAATGTATGTCAATGGAAGCACAAGTGTTTACACATTTATTTCACTAACATTGATTTTTTTACCCCATTTTGGCAAGCCAATGATTTTGAATTATGAATTTAAATTAAAGATTCATACAAGGTTTAAGTTCATGAGCCCTCGTTTTAAAATATAATCCTTTATGTTAAAATTCAGATTTAACTTGCTCAGCTCAATATCTTAAAGATTAGATTACCTTCTGTAATGTCTGCTCCAACATTTCTTTCCCATTCTTCTCTGGAGTCCTCTTCTTGACCTCACCATCTTCACCGTATCTAAAGAGTTGTTCTGGTAGAGAATAAATAATATATTATAGTACCTTGTGTATTGCTGAAACACTAACCTGTCATTTAAATGAAAAAGGTTCTATAGTTTTTCAATTATGAATAGTCTAGGCTATTTTCTGGTCAAGTATTTGGCTAGTAACTAAACGGTGACCCTTTTTAAGATTTTCAGTAACATAACTATGAATCTTTGTAGTGTTGCATTTTTTTCTGCAATGTAAGATTTTCAAAAGTACAATAGATCTGCAGGTTAACAATGCTACACTTTTATTCCTATTTTCATTCCTTTGTAGACTATTCCCTCTTTGCCTTAAAAGCAGAATTCATTGCCTTTTTATCTACACTCACTACTAGTTTTGTTCTCTGGATCTTGTTCCCTGCCAGGAGGATCACAGTGATTGCTGAACAAAGCAAACAGTAACAGAATTAGGGTGGACTGAAACTGTTACATCCCCAACCACCACCTTTTCTTCAAGTGAAAGATCATGCACTAGGCAGGGTAAACCATAAAAATCACATATCTAAAAATCTAAGAATTCATAACAAATAGAAAGCCAGGTATATGGGCGAAGTTATTTCTACAAATCATTCCTACACTAGCTATGCATTTAAATACCAAAAACCTTTCAACCAAGCAAAAATTTGCCAGTAACTTGACAAGTTTAAAGGAAAAAAATAATCATAAAACTTCAGTTCATATCATTAAAATTAAATTATTCTAAAACTCATAAATTGCTCTTATCAGATAAATAAATTACAATGACAAATTTAAATACCATTTTCTTACTGATTTATTTTTGGGATACAACATTTCTTAAAGAATAAAAAAAAGGAACAAAAAGAATACATAAAGCTAAAAGGATACATATCTGTGTTAACCTGAGATGATTTTGCTTTAAAGTATGCTTGACTACTGTAGGTCAGTATAAAACTTTGATTTATCAACAAAGGAAAAAGAAAACAATATTATTCTCTGTAGAGTAGAAATCCTCTTGGTATAAACAGTGACTAACAAGTTTGTTAGAGTAAATTAGGCATTTCTTTTGTCTTTGAAATATGACATACCCAATTAAAACTTCTGTACTCATGAAATAAATAGAACACTATCCTAAGGATAATAAAAGCTAAAATAGGTAGAATTTGCCACCGGGGGAATAAGTACCTTTACCTTGATAATAATCTATCAGTTCCCAAGTTTCTTCTTCAAGTCCCCTAACACCACGGTGCTGAATTCATTTACAACACTCTTTCAGCAATATAGAAATAATATGCAAATACAATTCATCCTTTCTAGTCATTTAAATATCTGCTATAGCTCTGAGTGAAGTATTTACTCAAAAATAAAATAATAGTTCTATATTTAAGAGCAAAGAGCGATAATAACAGCTAAATAACTCCAATAAAATAAATGTTGAAGATTGATTTAAAAATGAATTTGCTGCTTTTTTGCTCCTGAGTGTATACAAAGGCCACTGGGGGACTAACCATGTTCACCAGTAGTTGTCTGCTGAAAAGTTTGTTTCTCACTTTCAGAGGTTTATATAGAATACTCAAAGCAGCTAGGCCCACACCATGGAAAGAAACAAGTATTCAATTCTCTGCCTGTTGATTTTCTTCCTCTGCAAAGATCTCATAATTTGGGAAATGAACCAAGAGGATCTAGTTAGCAATACATACTTCTATTTTTTTCCTATGTTGGATGTGTGAGCATGTGCTTCACTTTATTGGAGATGTATTTTTAGTATTTGTTTTAAATGCTTTACTTTTTTTTTTTTTTTTTGCAGACAGTAGTTCTTCGCTTTGTTGCCCAGGCTAGAGTGAGTGCCGTGGCGTCACGCCTAGCTCACAGCAACCTCAAACTCCTGGCTCAAGCAATCCTCCTGCCTCAGCCTCCCAAGTAGCTGGGACTACAGGCATTCGCCACCATGCCCGGCTAATTTTGTATATATTAGTTGGCCGATTAATTTCTTTCTATTTATAGTAGAGACAGGGTCTCGCTCTTGCTCAGGCTGGTTTCGAACTCCTGACCTCGAGCAATCCGCCGCCTCGGCCTCCCAGAGAGCTAGGATTACAGGCGTGAGCCACCGCGCCGGCCTACTTTTTTTACTTAAAAAATTCATTATGGCCGGCGCTGTGGCTCACGCCTGTAATCCTAGCTCTTGGGAGCCGAGGCGGGCGGATTGCTCAAGGTCAGGAGTTCAAAACCAGCCTGAGCAGAGCGAGACCCGTCTCTACTATAAATAGAAAGAAATTAATGGCCAACTGATATATATATAAAAAATTAGCCGGCATGGTGGCGCATGCCTGTAGTCCCAGCTACTCGGGAGGCTGAGGCAGAAGGATCACTCGAGCCCAGGAGTTTGAGGTTGCTGTGAGCTAGGACACCACGGCACTCACTCTAGCCTGGACAACAAAGCGAGACTCTGTCTCAAAAAAAAAAAAAATTCATTATGATTTATGAACCTCTTTCTCAAAAGTTTCTTCTTTCTCTTTTTCTTATCATTATCTTTTTCCTGATCTTAATTTGATGCTTCCTTTGCAAATTTTCCTAAATATCTGCTTGTGATTATATCCGTTTGGGACATTAGGAAAGAGAAATAGGTCTCAACTTGTGTGTAGGCAATATCCTAAAGAATACTGCTATTTTTATTTCACTTTTAAGAAAAGTAAAATAAGAGTCATAGTGATTAGGTTTTACTTTGGAAGGTACTTGTGCTACAATAAGAAACACACACAGTGTGTTTGGAAACAAGATGTCCTTTAGTATCTGTGAAAGATTGGTTCCAGGATCTTCCTAGGATACTAAAATTCAAGGATTCTCAGGTCCCTAACATAGAATAATGTAGTATTTGCATTATAACCTATGCACCTACTCCTATATACTTTAAATCATCTTCATATTACTTACAATAACTAATACAACATCAATGCTATATAAATAGTTATTGTACTATATTGTTAGGGAATAATGACAAGAAAGGTCTGTACATGTTCAGTACAGATGCAAATTTTTTTTCAAATATTTGTGACATGCAATTTGTTGACTCCAGGGATGTAGAACCCATGGATACAGAGGGCCCAATGCATTGGGTTTTGTCCCCAGTCCTTGACATAGAGCCTCTAAAACCTTTGGAATTTCCTGAGTAATGGGAGCATCTTTTGTTATTCATAACAAGTCTCCTTCAACCATACCAGAATTTATGCCTAATAAACTGATTCTTGGTGGACTTCTAGATAGCTTCAGGATGGAGGCTGATTTCCAGAGGAACGAACCATACATAAGATTAGTTCCATCCCAAGACTTCTGCGGTTCAATCACTAATGTAAATGATTTAATCAATATTGCCTACGTAATGGAACCTCCATGAAAAATCCTAAATAATGGGGTTTGGAGAACTTTCACACTGGTGAACCCATCTAGGTTATGGGAAGGTAGCATGCCCAGAAAGAGCATGGAAGCTTTGTGTTCCTTCCCCTATACATTGCCCTACACATCTCTTCCACTTGGCTGTTCCTGAGTTGTATCCTTTATAATAAACCAGTCATAGTACATAAAGCACTTTTCTGAGCCATTCAAGCAAAGTACCAAATCCGAGGAAGAGGTTGTGGGAACCTCCAATTTATAGTCAGTTGGTCAGAAATACAGGGGGAAACCTGAGACTTGTAACTAGCATATGAAGTAGGGACAGTCTTGTAGGACTGAGTTCTTAACCTGTGGGTCTGCCCTAACTCCAAGTAATTAGAGTCAACATTGAACTCAATTGTAGGATACCCGCTTGGTGTCTGGAGAATCAGAGAACTGGTTGTTGGGTGGAGGAAAAACCCCACAGAATTGGTATCAGAAGTGTGAGTAAAAACACCTTAGAGTACTGTTTCAGATAAACAAATTAAAGATAAGTAGGCAATAACCAAGCAAGACCTGCCAGGAAAAAAATTTGGTTTTTGTGTTAATTAAACATTGTTGCCTAGGCAAGATAAAATCCAATCAGCCAACTATAATTAGAACTCATCTCCTTTGAGAAGTAACCATGAGCCAAAGAAAAATGGAGTCCCATTTGTAATGGATGAGATTGTACAGCAAGAAACAAATCCTATTTCTGATGGATAAGAGAAAATCTCAGTCATTTTATGTGACTGTTATACTTGGCTCATATTTCTTGAGACCCAACCCATCCCCTTTGACTTGACCAAGGCAGAGCCTTAGGAAAAACCTATTCAATCAGTTAAAGTTGAAAGAAAAGAAGGCCATTTTTGTTACCAACTACAACTATTCTGAAAAAGAAGTTTCCAGGATAATGAAAGGTATCTTTTTCTAGGAAGAGAGGTAGTGAAATAGGAGAATAGGGAGTTTTTTCTTCATTGCAAACTACACCCAATAAAGAGGCTTCTTTGTATTAAAAATAAAATGTCTTTTATCAGGGGCCCCTGATCCCATTAATTCATGTGAGTAAATTAGGGAGATTAGAATATAGTATCTTTAATTCCTCTAGCTTGGAGGCCCTGTGTAACACCCTCTTGTTACTTTATGCTATTCTTTACACACAACTTTAAAATATTTTAGCTGTTTATTTTCTTTTAAGTGTTTTATTACACTTTAATTATTGTTTTTACATTTAAATGATTTTGTGAAGTTTAACAGTTTAATTTGTGTGTTTGGTTTCATGTTACAGCTTACCTGTTTTAGTTAATATACCTGTGTTTCCATTGATTTTAATCTTTTCTTATGTGCCTAACATTAATCCTTTTGCTTTTTATTTGTTTATTTATTTTTTAAGACAGGGTCTCACTCTTTTGCCCAGGTTAGAGTTCAGTGGCATTATCATAGCTCACTGCAACCTCACCCTCTTGGGCCCAAGCAATCTTCCTGCCTCAGTCTCCTGAGTAGCTGGGACTATAGGCATGCTTCTTTAAAAAATAATTTCTTTATCTTAAAGTTCCTATTTTTAATCTTTTGTTTCATTAGTTTTCTTATATTTCTTTTTTTTAATATAACAACTACAAGGA